AAATTTTACCTGCACTAGGCACTGCAACCGAGGAGCCCCAGGTAAGTCGTTAGGGGGGGGCCACGCACATAAGGACAAATGGGCGACGATAGATTTGTTTCGAATGATCTTTCGATGCCTCACTATCTCCAGGAATTAAATCTGCATCTACACTTGCAGTGGGTCTCCCTGCACTGCAAGGATGAAATGCTCATCATTCAGCCTAGGGGTGCAGTGGTAAGGCGTATTAGGATCCAGCACTGTTCTCTTCTACCGGAATCTCCATTCTGTGGGTGGAACAAGTGCATCATCACCACCAATGCAGGGCGGTTAACTTGACTCTCACTGGGAATGCTTTAGAGAGGCAGCAGAGCTGGGCCAGGAATGAGGTACTACACCTTACCTCTGCACCCCTAGAATAAATGAGCATTTACCCCTTATAACAGGAGTTTCAAACTCAATTTCGCTACAGGCCGTATCAGCATTATGGTAGATCTCAAAGGGCCAGTTGCATCTGTATGTATGCGCTACATGCAGAATTCAGGAGTGCGCTACATGCAGAGTGCAGAGTTCAGGAGGAGTGTGCTACATGCAGAGTGCAGAGTTCAGGAGTGCACTACATGCAGAGTTCAGGAGTGCACTACATGCAGAGTTCAGGAGTGTGCTACATGCAGAGTTCAGGAGTGTGCTACATGCAGAGTTCAGGAGTGTGCTACTTGCAGAGTTCAGAGTTCATAAGTGCAGAGTGCAAAATTCAGGAGTGCAGGTATACAGAGTTCATAGTTCAGGAGTGCACTACATACAGAGTGCAAATTTCAGGAGTATGCGGCGTACAGAGTGAAGAGTTCAGAAGTGCGCTATGTACAGAGTGCAGAGTTCAGGAGTGTGCTATGTACAGAGCGCAAAGTTCAGGAGTATGTGGCATACAGAGTGCAGAGCTCAGGAGCGTGCTACATGTAGAGTGCAGAGTTCAGTAGAACAGGTATACAGAGTAGAGTTTAAGAGTGCACTACGTACAGAGTGCAAAGTTCAGAAGCATGTGGTGTACAGAGTGCAGAGTTCAGGAGTACGCTACGCGCAGTGTACAGAGTTCGTGAGCATGCTACGTACAGAGTGCAAAGTTCAGGAGCATATGGCATACAGAGTTCAGGAGTGCGCTATGTACTGAGAACAGCGTTCAGGAGTGTGTTGCGTACAGAGTGCAATGTTCAGGAGTATGTGGTGTACAGAGTGCAGAGTTTAGAAGTATGCTATGTACAGAGTGCAGAGTTCAGAAGTGCTCTTCGTGCAGAGTACAGAGTGCAGCAGTGTGCTACGTGCAGAGTGCACTGTTCAGGAGTATGCAGCATACAGAGTGCAGAGTTCAGGAGTGTGATATGTACAGAGTGCAGAGTTCAGAAGTGTGCTACGTACAGAGTGCAATCTTCAGGAGTATGTGGCATACAGAGTACAGAGTTCAGGAGTGCGCTATGTACAGAGTGCAGAGTTCAGGAGTATGCGACATACAGAGTGCAATGTTCAGGAGTGTGCAGCACACGGACTGCAGAGTTCAGGAGTGTGCTATGTACAGACTGCAGAGAGTTCAGGAGTGTACTATGTACAGACTGCAGAGTTCAGGAGTGCACTACATTCAGAGTACAGAGTTCAGGAGTGTGCTATGTACAGAGTTCAGGAGTGCACTACATTCAGAGTACAGAGTTCAGGAGTGTGCTATGTACAGAGTTCAGGAGTGTGCTACGTACAGAGTGCAATCTTCAGGAGTATGTGGCTCACAGAGTACAGAGTTCAGGAGTGTGCTACGTACAGATTGCAATGTTCGGGAGTATGCAGCATTCATTGTGCAATGTTCAAGAGTATGCGGCATACAGAGTGCAATGTCCAGGAGTATGTGGCATACAGAGTGCAGAGTTCAGGAGTGCGCTATGTACAGACTGCAGAGTTCAGGAGTATGCGGCATACAGAGTGCAGAGTTCAGGAGTGTGCCATGTACAGACTGCAGAGTTCAGGAGTATGCGGCATACAGAGTACAGAGTTCAGGAGTGTGCTATGTACAGAGTGCAATGTCCAGGAGTATGCGGCATACAGAGTGCAGAGTTCAGGAGTGCGTTACTTGCAGAGTGCAGGATTTAAGGGTGTATTATGCAAAACATACAAAAGCGTGCATTCTGTGCTTGTCCTGAAATACTATAATGTGAATACAGCATTAAGGGGACCCCGTCAGATCTCTAAGCAAATCAAAAGGGCAGTTCCCTGCAATAAAGATGTGTCATACTCATCTCTCCGCTGACCTGTGTCTCTGTCTTCCCTCTGTTCCATTGGCATTTGAAACCCATGGGAGTCTTCCACCAAGCACAGTGGTTTCTTCCTCTAGCCTCTGCATCAATGCTGAGTCCCATAGTGACATGAGGGGTGGGGGAGGGAATTATGTTACGTGGCGGAGGGGAGGGGCACAGTTGTCTGACACTCCAGGAAGTGTTGAAGGCCAGCTCTGGAATGGAGGGGAGGAAGGCCACAATGGTCACCACAGATGTGCATATAATACCTCTTCTATTACAGGAAATGGAAGTTTTGATTACTTTAACAGGGTCCCATGACCCTGTTACACCTGTGGGAGCCAATGCTTTAAAAGGGCCATGACGCTAAAGCCTGGTAGGAGGGGTAACTGATCATGCAGCATTTTGATTGGGTGCACAGTGCTGATGTCATCAGGAGCCCTTACTGCTGGTTCCTAAGCAGCTGACTGTGTGGTGACAGCTTGGTCATAGTGTTTGGGGGGGCAGAACAAGATAGCAACTAGGCATTCCGGCCCACTCACCCCGCCACTGCAATATTGTGTATCGCTGTCATAAAGGGGTTAAAAGACAGACGTAGGGTGCATACACACAGGCATAAAAAAATCCCATACAGCGTGCAATTTATTCAACATAGCAGTGTATTAGGGTGCACCTACAGCGTTTGTGGGCCCCAACTATAGCATATTTCTGCCCATATTACAGCTTTACAAGATATGCATTGCTCCTGTAATCTCATGTAAATATCCGTGCTCACGATGGCATGTACACGCATATGCATGCATTTTTCTGCATGTGTGATTCTCACGTGTCATTGCAAGCAAGCCTCTATTGGCCTATGTCTGCTTTTGTCTACCCATGGGTTACGCCATGATAACTGCACATTGCTCATTAATAAAGGGTGGTGACTGCGGTGCTATTCATTTTGAATGTCTACCGAACACACACACGCCCAACGCATCGCAATGCACTCGTGATTCAACGCAAGAGAACGCCACAAGGCACCTGTGCACTGCGCTGAGCTGTGTCAAAGAATTATGGCGTTTGCTGAAATATGCAATGAGCTGCACTGCCATCCCATTCAAAATGAATGGACTGCCTTAATACCATGTGCCTCAATGCGTAGGAATGCAAGTATTTACGCCTTGGCTGGATCATGCCTGTTGGGGGGGATTTACTAAGACTGGTGCACTCGGAATCTGATGCTGCTGTGCACGGGAGCCAATCAGCTTGTAACTTCAGCTTCTTCAATTAAGCTTTGGCAATAAAACTCGATTGGCTACTGTTCTGTCTCTCCAAGCTAAGCATTGAAAGTGTGATCTCTGTAACTTACAGTTGTGATGAGATAGGTATAACTCCAATCTTAGTTGAATAACGCAGGCAATGACTCGATCTAGATGACACCTTGTAGATCTTGTGAAGTTTATTCCATAAACGAAGAGAATCTTACAACAATGAACATCTGATAGGTCAAAAGATCATAATGTGATCCGCTTCATGACATGAGGCTTGAAGCTGAAATGCATTACTGGGGAAAAAGGGTGGGGCTATCTATATAGCATGAGCTAATCCAGAGGAAAGGGAGGAGCAGAGACAAAATACAGAGAACACTAAAAGGCATATGACAGTCATGTGAAACATGACAGCTACCATTAGTGCCGGGATATCCAGCGCCCAGGGCAAAAACTCCGACCTGCCCAGCCTTGTCCCAGAAGGAAGGCACCCCCATCCCCACAGTAAAACCATTGCGAATAGAAACAGAAACAACACCTTCTGCGCTCACCTAGATCAAGGGTGGGTAGACGGATAGACCACTTAGGAAGCTCATCCACCAATGGATCAAAGGTGGTGCAGCTCTTCACAAGGCTGGGGAAGCCCAACCAGTACTGCCGAATGAAAAAAAAAATGAAAGCACACCAACCTTGTGCATTACCTCAATAAAAATCTGTGATTATATTAACCACCTCCCGTTCAGCCATTTATAAATGGCCTCCCCGCACCCTGCTTGTGAGCGCTCTCTGGGAGCGCGAGGTCCCGATCATGTGATCACTGATTGGCCAATCAGTGATCACATGCGGAGTAGTAAGCAATGATGTCACTTCTGACATCATTGCTTACTACATGTGATCACATGGTACAGGACTATTCACAACAGCCTTGTATCATGTGACAAGCTGTGACCAATCACAGCTCACACAGTAGTTCACAATGGCTGCAAGAATGCAGCCAGAGAGAAGGAGAAATGATTGCTTTTACAGCCTTTATGGGTGTAAAAGCAATCAGTGTTAAAAAAAAAATCTTCATCACCCCCCCCACAAGTAGTACAGTTTCACCATGCTAGGGTGACAGTATGTAAAAAAACAACAACAAATAATATAAAAAAAAAAAGAAAAAAAAAAGTTTAAAAAATATAATTTTTGGTTATAAACTAATTTGGGTTATTTTTTTTTTACTAAAAAGATAACGGAACAAATTGGCCAAGATTTATGATGAAATATTATTTATTTGCAAAATGTTATAAGAAAAAACACCTTTTTTCAAAATTTTTGGATTTTTTCATTTACATAGCAAAAAAAAATAAAAATCCCAGTGATGAATAAATACCACCAAAATAAAGCTTTATCTGTCTCAAAAAAATGCTAAAAAATGTATATAGCTACAGTGTTGCATGACCGCGCAATTGTCATTCAAAGTGTGATAGCTCTGAAAGCTGAAAAATGGCCTGGACAGGAAGGGGGGGAAAGTGTCCGGACTAGAAGGGGGTGAAAGTGTCTGGACTGGAAGGGGGTGAAAGTGTCCGGACTGGAAGGGGGTGAAAGCGTCCGGACAGGAAGGGGGGAAAGCGTCCGGACTGGAAGGGGGTGAAAGCGTCCGGACTGGATGGGGGGGAAAGCGTCCGGACTGGAAGGGGGGGGGAAAGCGTCCGGACTGGAAGGGGGGGAAAGCATCCGGACTGGAAGGGGGGGAAAGTGTCCGGACTGGAAGGGGGGGAAAGCGTCCGGACTGGAAGGGGGGGAAAGCGTCCGGACAGGAAGGGGGGGAAAGCGTCCGGACCGGATGGGGGGGAAAGCGTCCGGACTGGAAGGGGGGGAAAGCGTCCGGACTGGAAGGGGGGGAAAGCGTCCGGACTGGAAGGGGGGGAAAGTGTCCGGACAGGAAGGGGGGGAAAGTGTCTGGACTGGAAGGGGGTAAATGCGTCCGGACTGGAAGGGGGTAAATGCGTCCGGACTGGAAGGAGGTGAAAGCGTCCGGACAGGAAGGGGGGGGGAAAGTGTCCGGACTGGAAGGGGGTGAAAGCGTCCGGACTGGAAGGAGGTGAAAGTGTCCGGACTGGAAGGGGGGGAAAGTGTCCGGACTGGAAGGGGGGGAAAGTGTCTGGACTGGAAGTGGGGGAAAGTGGACTGGAAGGGGGGGAAAGTATCCGGACTGGAAGGAGGGGAAAGCGTCCGGACTGGAAGGAGGGGAAAGCGTCCGGACTGGAAGGGGGGGGAAAGCGTCCGGACTGGAAGGGGGTGAAAGCGTCCGGACTGGAAGGGGGGGAAAGCGTCCGGACTGGAAGGGGGTGAAAGCGTCCGGACTGGAAGGGGGGGAAAGTGTCCGGACTGGAAGGGGGTGAAAGTGTCCGGACTGGAAGGGGGTGAAAGTGTCCGGACTGGAAGTGGTTAAGATGCGATGTATACTCACAAACAAAGCAGTATAACAAGCGTATAAAATACTAAAAAGGAACATTGAAGTGCAAGACCAGTGCGAATCACATCAAGAGGGGAGACTCTCAAAGTTCAGCTGACGGATTCGAAGGGCGGGGGTCCCTTCTTCCTCAGAGCTCTGAGTAAGAAGAGACCCCCCTTCGAAACACGTCATCTGAACTTTGACATTTTCACTCTGCAGTAAACCATTGCACCCAGGGCAGCTACCCCTCGCGCCCACCCCTTGTCCCTGGCCCTGGCTACCATGCACAGATTTTGCCCTCTCCAGTTTTAGTAAATCTCCCCCATTGTGTCTGTATCTAGTATAACATTTCAGTTACGGTGTCCCCTTAAATCCCAGCAAATATCAGCTCCGTAGAAGTTGGAGAAGTGAAGAATTTCTGAAGACATGTCAGTACTCAGGAGCTCTTGCATCACCGACCACAACTGGATTTCCCCTTTCCACATGAAATGTCCCCATTGGTCATGAGAAGGGAAATCAGGGGAAGTTTGGATTCTCTGTGTACAAATTTCTCTTCGTGATCAGAGGGGATTTCAGTACAGACCGCAGAGGAGTCAGCACACAGACCTAAAACCACTGGTCAGCCGTCCAGTCTAATGAGCATGGCGGGAGCAATGTGCCGGATCCTGACCCTGCTACTGCTGCCACTCACAGGTAAGACCCCGGGAAATGCTCTGGTTTAGAGGGGATATATTTTCTGCTTATTATTATTTTTTCTTTAGACAGATTTAAACAGTTCAATGTAAATAATGTGAATTATGTGTGTTAATGTTTTGCAAAAGATGTAGAGATTTGTAAATATATATGTACTGGGTGATGTCTGGCTCTTCTTCCTGCTCAGCAATGCTGTCCAGTGATTGTATTGATGTGCTGTGCTGCCCCCAAAAGGCCACTTGGGTGTAATGGTCTGTTGTGGTGCATTGGCAGCCAATAGGAAGTAGAATACATTAACATATCACATGTTAATGCACAAGATAATGCCAAGGCATCGCAATGGACCGGAATAGTGTGAACTCTCTCTCACTCCTCCTTTCTCTCCCTCTCTCTCTGTTACTCATTTATTTCCCTCTCTTCCTCTCTCTCTCTCTCTCGATTCCCCTTTTCTCTCTCTCTCTTATTCTCTCTCCTCCTATACTTTCCTCTCTTTCTCGCTCCTCCTTTCTTTCCCTCTCTTTCTCGCTCCTCCTTTCTTTCCCTCTCTTTCTCGCTCTTCCTTTCTTTCCTTCTCTTCCTCTCTTTCTCGCTCCTCCTTTCTTTCCTCTCTTCCTCTCTTTCTCGCTCCTCCTTTCTTTCCCTCTTCCTCTCTTTCTCGCTCCTTCTTTCTTTCCCTCTCTTCCTCTCTTTCTCACTCCTCCTTTCTTTCCCTCTCTTCCTCTCTCTCTCATTCCCCCTTTCTCTCTCTCTTTCTTATTCTCTCTCCTCCTTTCTTTCCTTCTCTTCCTCTCTTTCTCATTCCTCCTTTCTTTCACTCTCTTCCTCTCTCTCTCGTTCCCCCTTTCTTTCTCTCTTATCCTCTCTCCTCCTTTACTTCCCTTTCTTTCTCGCTCCCCTTTTCTTTCCCTCTCTTCCTCTCTCTCCCCCTTCCTCCTTGTTTTTTCTCTCTCTCCCCTCTACTCCTTTCTGTCCCTCTCTTCCTCTCCTTCTCGTTCCTCCTTTCTTACTCTCTCTCTCTCTCTCTCTCTCTCTCACCCCCCCTTTCTTTCTCTCTTATCCTCTCTCCTCCTTCCCTTTCTTTCTCGCTCCTCCTTTCTTTCCCTCTCTTCCTCTCTTTCCCCCTTCCTCCTTGTTTTTTCTCTCTCCCCCTCTACTCCTTTCTGTCCCTCTCTTCCTCTCCTTCTCGTTCCTCCTTTCTTCCCCTCTCTCTCTCTCTGTCTCTCTCTCTCACACTCTTTCTTTCTTTCCCTCTCTTCCTTTCTCTCTCTCCTCCTTTCTTGGGGTCTTTGCTTCAAATCCTGGTCAGAACACTACATACATAGAGTTTGCATGTTCTCCATGTGCCCTAAGTGTTTTTATCTTTAAGTACCCCGGTTTCCTTCCACAATCCAAAGACACTCCAAAGAAGACATGCATGTAGTTGCTGTCTAAAGTGTCTGTGTGTGTCTGTGTGTGTTATGGACTGTAAGCTCTTGAGGGCACAGACTAATTTGAATGTACAATATATAAAGTGCTGTGTAAATTGTTTGTAGCTGTATAAATACCAGGAATTTATACATACAGACTTGTGAAGCTGCTAAAATGTCCACTGTAAAGCATAACTGGTGTTTTGGTTCTTTAGTCTCCTGTGTTCTTTTTACAGGCAGTCTTTGTCATTCTGCAGAAGTCACTCCAATTACAGGAATACAGGGTGGGTCTGTCCTTCTGTCACCTTTGGTTCCTCCAGGATTTAATCCCAGGGAAGTCTTCTGGAGACACTTTTCTCCAGTAGATCATTTGGTGGCCTCTTTTTTTCCCGAGGATCCTTGGACACAACGTATCAGTCTTGTTTCCACGGCAGAGTCCAACTTCTTCAAAACTTCACTTTGGAAATATCGGGGCTAGCGTTGAAGGATACTGGGATGTTCACTTGTCAAATGGTGGACACTCATGGACACATGAAGCTTCATCAATTTCATCTCACTGTCTACGGTAGGTGTTCAGTAGATTCAGAACACATACCTGTTATGTATTATTAAGTTCCAAACACGTAATTCTTAATAACATTAATGTATGTTGACCTATATCAAACTTTCATCATTTCTAGAGGTGGCAGCCAAGCCAGAGGTACAAGTCTTTGTGTCAAGACAAGGTCAAGATTGCGCCATATTCCTCAGCTGCAATGTGACCACAGGGAATAATGTAACCTATAGTTGGATGATTCAAACTGGACAAGGGGATCTGATAAATGAGACATACAGGCTTTATGATGACAAACGTCTGCTTACGATGACTTTGACCTCAACTCATCAAGAGGTCTCCTTTACCTGTGTTGTAACCAATCCAATCAACCAAGAACATACATCCGTAATCCCATGGACGAGCTGCTTAGCTGGACCAGGTAAGGCTAATGAATTTGTAGTTTAATGTTTATTTTATAGCCAATATTAGAAGCCCTGTTTTTTTTTTTTTGCTGTTTCTGCCCCCTTGCTATTGGTCTGGTGACCATTCTCACTGGGATAAATTGTAATAGGAAAATCCAAATGTGGTAGTTAATGGAACAAGAGGTTAGGGGAAATCTTCCAATGTGGAAAATTAAATGGGAAATTCACTTCCCCTTTGGAGATATTCTTCTTCAATTCCTGTTTTAGTAATCACAGTCTTCAGGACCAGAAGTGAAAAGAATCTCCCTAACGGACAAAGAGTATGAGTCACAGACAAATGCCCATAAGTTTCAGCTTGTACGGGACTGGAGAGATGGCGCCCTCCATTATTTTAAGCCTACAGAAATTTCCACCAGTACACCTTTCTTGAAGAAGATTAGTCCTTTGTTCATACTTCAGTTAACAAATATCACCAACCAAACTTTCAGGAGTGTGCAGGGGCCCCTTTCTCAAGGGAGGGCATCTTTTTCTATGTGCTATGAGAAACGGACCCTGTGCAATCCCAAAACCTTGGTTGTTGTACTTTATCACTGATGTCTGAAGAAAGGACAATTCTTCAAGAGAGATGTGCAGGAGGAAATTTCTGTAGATCTCAATGTAGACATTGGAAGCCATATGCCTAACAGGGCTTCCATCCCTGCCCACCATATGTCTGTGAAGGTTCTTATTTATTCAAGCCATAATATAACCAATCAGATTCAACTGGACTTCTTTTGTATTGTTGAAGATGTTTGAAAAAAGCTTCTCCAAGCCACTTCTTCAGAATTGAAGAAGTTGCTTGGTTAGCTGCGAAAAGTCTTCAGCGTGACTGAACTAGTCCATCTAAATGTGGCCAACTACTATTAGCTTTGCCACTCTACTGAAAAGACAATTCGTGAAGAAGGATGTGCTGGTGGAAATTTCTATAAATCTCCCCAATGGATACCTAGTGACCATATACAGTACCTCATAGGGGGTCCGTCCCTTTCACACCATATGTCTGTGAAGGTTCTCATTTATCCAGGTTATAGCCAGTATTGGTTAGTCAGATTTGACTGGACTTCTTTTGTAATGTTGAAGATGTTTCATAGCTTCTCCAAGCCACTTCTTCAGAATTGAAGAGGTTGATTGGTAAGGTCTTCAACGTGACAGAACTAGTCCATCTAAATGTGACCAACTACTATTAGCTTAGCCGCTCTACTGAAAAGACAATTCATCAAGAAGGATGTGCTGGTGGAAATTTCTATAGATCTCCCCCATGGATATCTAGTGGCCATGTACAGTACCTCATAGGGGGTCTATCCCTTTCCATATGTCTGTGAAGGTTCTCATTTATCCAGGTTATAGTCAGTATTGGTTAGTCAGATTTGACTGGACTTTTTTGTAATGTTGAAAACGTTTCATAGCTTCTCCAAGCCACTTCTTCAAAATTGAAGACGTTGATTGGTAAGGTCTTCAACGTGACAGAATTAGTCCATCTAAATGTGACCAACTACTATTAGCTTAGCCACTCTACTGAAAAGACAATTCGTCAAGAAGGATATGCTGGTGGAAATTTCTATAGATCTCCCCAACGCAGGGGCGGACTGACCATTTGGGAACTCGGGCACTGCCCGAGGGCCCGGGGTCAGTAGGGTCATGAGATGCCCCTGATACTTTTCATAGGCTTTTTTGGGTGTGGTTTGAGTGTGGGCGAAGACACAGGGGCCCCATGATCCCCTATTGCCCAGGGCCCCATGAGTTGTCACTCCGCCCCTGCCCCAATGGATACCTAGTGGCCATATACAGTACCTCATAGAGGTCCATCCCTTTCACACCATATGTCTGTGAAGCTTCTCATTTATCCAGGTTATAGCCAGTATTGGTTAGTCAGATTTGACTGGACTTCTTGTTGAAG